TGATAATTATGACATTGACACTGCTTTTATTTAATGAGTACACGTGTACACATTGTCAAGGACTCGGTGGATAAACTGGGACTGTAAAGTTTATTATTGAAATGAAATAATATTATGAAAATAAGTATAATATAATACTGCATTCAAATTGCCCTAATAAAAAGGTCTTTTATATCGCCGTATAAAAAAACCTTTTTACTAAGGCAAATATCACTACAATGTTGTTAATTTTGTCAATAGTACACGACAACACATTACGAGATTAAGTCGGTATTATTTATGTCATTGGATTCGATTCGGTGTTTATATGGGACCTATCTAATAACGCTTCCTATAACTAAATATAAAGTTAACTATAAAATTTATTGTAACTATATATCTATATACTAAATTATGTAATGGAAGGTGACTTCAGAAGTATCTCTGAAATCATTTTTCAACTTGACGACTCTGTATGTATATCACAATACAGGGAGAAAAAAACAGCCCTTGTTGAGTTTCTTGCCGGTTCTTCTCAGTACAAGGTCTCCCACCGTAGTTCTGCGAACCGATGGCCTAGCTTCTTGACCTTCACAAATGTTTGTCTAGCCTAGCCTAGACTGAATAAATGATTTTTGATTTTGATTAGATTTTTTGATTTTGATACTAAAAAAATTAAAAATTCGGCCTAAAACTGATTATATTATCTTCATCATCATCCTATGAATGTCCAGATAGGGCCAGTCTTCTTTATTGATGCAATAGCGAGATAAGGCCAAGACCCACATTAAATTTTTGCAAATATGTTAATGCATCGGTATGCATTTTAACGTATTTTTAAAGTGTATTGTACGGTTACAATACACTTTAAAAATACGTTAAAATGGCCACGCTCTTATGTTTTCGTGAAAGACAATTGCGCATGATGTGCGTGTATAGAAAATCTTTGTATGACATTCGTGCGGAATTTGTATTTACAAACTTGTGACTATGGTAAACCTTACATTCGGCCACTCGTTTCACTCGTTTGTAATAACCAACTTACCGCACTAATATCATAAATAATCATTGAAATTGGCCCTCAGTTAATTTCTTCAATTACAATATTGGGTATTTGAATGTTTGTTTTTTTATAAGCAAGGCGACTAAACACTGGTGCAACTGGAATAACATCTATTCAAACAATCTTTCGGTTCGACTTTTGCCTAAGGGCTGTGAAGGACCGGCCATGCGTAAACTCAGTCAAGCTGCATTAAGTATGACTTCTTAGATTAGTGTTAACTAGCAAACCAGTGAACCAAATGTTCACAAAAAAAAAATGTATTTAATTCATTGAGAACTTCGGAGATTTTGTGTGGTTTCGTTTGAAATAGAAATCACGTGATTTCTCGAAAACCGGAAGTGCTACGTTACTCACATCCGGTTTGTAGTCTTATCAAACTATTCTTAACTTATAACTTAAACATTCTCTATATCTATCTCTTACGGTTTGGCCGCTGAAACAGCACCACGGACGGACGGACGGACTTGTCTATTAGATAAGAGATAATTTTGCGTCACATTTCACCGTTGCGAACTTGTAATGTACTTAGCACATGTGTTGGTGACTATAAATAAACTGTACCCTTAGCACGAAGCAATATCGAATTCGAATAGTTTGCGAGTCCTTAATGTCAAATTTTGTATGGAAACTTGAACAGCAAATTTGACAACGTCAATGTATAATTTTGTAAACGTGAAATCTGCGGCTATCGGGCGGTTGAGAGCAAAGGGAATATTTTGAGAATAGTTAAATTTCATGTGTCTTCATTAAATTTAAAATTTCTCGACTTTGTGGAATGTTTCTTCATATAGATAAGTGAAAACTTGTTAATGGCTTATAGTTGTTTAAATAAATAAGCAAATGTTGTATGATAAACTGTAAGTTTCCCATAATCATAAACATTTATTCAGTTTAGGCTTTTGCAGGCACACATGAATGTCTAGAAGCTATGCAATCGGTTCGTAAATCTACGGCGGGAGACTTTGTACTGAGAAGAACCGGCAAGAAATTCAGCAAGAGCTGTTTTTTTATCCCTGTTTTATTATTTACAGAGTCGTCAAGTTGAAAAATGACTTTTAGGAATGATTCATGTAATCACTAAAATAAATATACATCCCACCAAATACATTCTGTAAAAAACTAGCCAAGTCTCGATGGAGCTGCTTGTTTATCTCTAAAAAGTAATGAAATCTAGACAAAGTCGTGCCAAGTCTAAGGTTCCTTACTGCGATTTCTTTATTATTATAGTTAATGTTGTGTGACTTGGCCGTTAAAGGGTACACAAGGGTACAAAACCAGGTGCGGGCACGTGTAGGGTGGGCCTAGGAGAAGGTGGTAAGTCCTACGGACGCGAGCAACACTAATCCTCTACCTTAAAGAATTAAATAAATAAATAATCTAGACTTTGCTACGTCACTACTGTTAAGAGTCTCACAGACAGTTCAAAGCATCGGAGCTTATTATTATACCTTATTCATCATCATCATCAGCCTATTAATGTCCCCACTGCTGGGGCACAGGCCTTGCCTATGGATGGAATAGGGAGATTGGGCCATGACCCACCACGCTGGCCCAGTGCGGATTGGTGGGTGCTAACGACTGCAGATGCAGCCGGGACCAACGGCTTAACGTGCCTTCCGAAGCACGGAGGAAATCGAGATAGTAAATTTTTGGTCACCCATCCAATGACCGACCACTGCGAAAGTTGCTTAACTTCAACGATCGCAGCTGATCGCGCTAACTACTTGCGCCATCGAGCTCCTCATTTATTTATTTCTTTCATTATACCTTATTAGATAAACAAATTATTATAAAGGTTAACGGTAAAGTTACGACAGTGAGGAGGAGCGAAACTAAACAGAATGTATGTATGTAGACATGATCGATATAAAATAGAATTGATCTCAAAGTTATATCAAATTATTGAAGGCATTTTGTGAAGTTTTAAGGATCTCACCAATCAGAGGCGGCCGCTGTCAGCCCTTATTGGTCGCTCGTGTTTGAACACTCGCTTACATTGCAAGCGAATACAAGCGGCCGCCACCTTGGCCGTGGCCGTATTCTGCGTCTGTCTATGAAATTCATAGACAGACGCAGAATACGGCCACGATTCATAGTATGAATACACTTTAATCAAAAGTGACAGATAAAAATTGATATATACTTTTTCAACAGTTATATGGCAAGATTTATTTACTTCTTCCATTATTCTTTTTCATCTTATTGGTTGCTCGTATTTGAATGCTCACTTACATTGCCAGCGAATACAACTGGCAGCCACCCTGGCCGCAGCCGCATTCTGCGTCTGTCTGTGAATACACTTTAATAAAAATAAAATTTAGTAAATACTTTTTGAACAGGCAAGATTCATTTATTTCTTTCATTATTCTGGATGTTTCAGTGTTTTCTCTACTCCTTCTGCTATCCTAGTAGAACTTGTCGGAAGGGCTCATCTGACATATCTGAGAACTCTTAAGAATTACTGGTGAATTAATATAGATAGCGTAGCGTAATCTCTAGTATAGAAACTTGAGAAAAGCGAGATTTGGCCAATGAAAATATATACAAATATACAGGGTTACAGGGAAAGTCGTACTGAATACTGAAGAACGTTATTATTCAGGTCACTTCTGATGGATTTAGTCCTATAATATGGTGTCCGAAACTTAACCGTTATGGAGATATTGGATATTAAAGATTTTGACGATTTTTTTGAAACTAGAGCTCCAAAGGTCCGATTTTTTAATGTATCTAGTTAGAAGACATGTCAAGCAATAAAAATAATGAATTAAAACTGAACCTTCTTCTAACGGATTAAAAAAACTGCTCGACAACGTTTATAACTAAAGAATTTTCACCAAGTGTTCTTAACTTTGAAGCACTTTTCTAAAACAAAAATGTATGGAACTTATTCTGCAAATAATTTTAAAAAATTCTACGTCTCTTTAGTTATTCAAAAAGGTATCACACTTGCTATTAAATTGGCAAAACATTGACCAAATAACAGTTATGGTAGCAGAGGGTACATTTTTAGTTTGAGGTAAAAATAGCAAAAATACGTAAATAAAACCAGAAAAGCATCATCATCATCATCACCAGCCTACTAATGTCTCCACTGCTGAGGCACAGGCCTTCCCTATTGATGGAATAGGGAGATTGGGCCATGACCCACCACGCGGGCCTAGTGCGGCTTGATGGGTGCTAACGACTGCAGATGCGGCCGGGACCAACGGCTTAACGTGCCTTCCAAAGCACGGAGGAGCTCGAGATAGTAATTTTTGGTCACCCATCCAATGACCGACCACTGCGAAAGTTGCTTAAGTTCACGATCAAAACTGAACTTACTTCTGTAAGTTCAGTTTTTATTCATTATTTTTATTACTTGACATGTCTTCTAACTATATTCATTAAAAAATCGGACCTTTGGAGCTCTAATTTCAAAAAAATTGACAGTAACCCAAAAAATATAGGATTTTTTAAAAAAATCTTTAATATCCAATATCTCCATAACGGTTAAGTTTTGGACACCATATTATAGGACCACATCCATCAGAAATGACCTGAATAATAACGTCCTTCAATATTCAGTACGACTTTCCCTGTAACCCTGTATATTGTGTATTGGTTTGTTTATCAAAGTTGCAATAGCGTAATATAAACGGTGATAATCTTTTTCAAAATATTGTTTTCAGTAAGATTGTACTTGTTACGTCTCAGCTTATTCGGGGGCTACATAAATGTTTTGCACTAATTAGCATAGCGAAATATTATATCATTGACAACACTTAAAAAAATTGATTAATATTTACATCATTTATTCACATAATAACAACGGAGCGGGTTTTCGGAATCCTTGTAGATAGATATATTCGACTATTTTATTGGTATTTACTTATTGAAGGTATCCACTCCCGCGACACGTCAACTATAGTAAGGTCATCTAATAACTAGAATAATAAGGACAACCGTCACAGCTTCATCTCACTGTTATGTTGTTGACTCGTACGGCTGGACAGCACGTATCATTTAACCAAACCGTTAAAAAAATTATAGTGACAAACACTTTTTCTCAAGAACGAAAATTTAAAAAGTAAAATGAATAATAAACAAAAAGTTTGCGCTCTTTCCAAAATGTGAACTGTTTAGAAAAACGAAAGAGGTTGCATGCTTTTTTACGGTTTCAGCGGGAAAAGTTCGGCTAAAAAGTTTTCTGAAAAAAGAGACATTAAAAGACAGTCAAAATGTATCGATTTATAGTGTTTGCGGTTTTGTTTAGGAATTGTCTAGCTGTGATATACTCGATGAATGGTAAGGTTTTTTTTATATTTTGTTACGGTCTTACAGGGGATGTTTATTTATATTTTTTTAGGTTAAATGTAATCAAGACTAAATTTAATCAAGACTAAATTTGTAAATAAAACAATTTTCAACGGTATTGATGCACTGATTTATTTATTTATTTACGTTTCGCATCCTTTTTAGGATCGTCGGAATAATGATTTTATTTATTTTGTCGAGTTACCTTAGAAAGACTTTTATTGAGCGTTCGGATATTTCATTGGAATACTTTAAAACTGTATTGTCTATGCATGTTTTTTTTTGTAATTGAATTTATAAAGTACTTATTTTAATTTATAATTGTGAGATTTTTTTTTTATTTGAAACGTCAATAAATAAACAAATCACTGCATCTATACCGTTGAAACTTGTATGGGTAAAAACATAAGCAACTAAATTTGTAACTTTTTGTTTATTTATCATACTTACTTATATATCATTCAAACTTTTATGATTGAATTAACATACGTAATCGAAAGCAGGCTATAATTGAAGGCACTATTATACGCCCACTTAAGTAAATAATAAAACATTACTACTGAACAATTGATATTATTATAAGTATTTTTTTTCCTCGTAATTCAACAAGGATAATTTAGAATAATGATAAACACTTAAGTAATCATATTAATCTGTTATATTATACCAACATATTTGCACTTATGATTTTCACCCCTAATAGGATGATTTATTTATTTTTTATTATCACGGCATAATACCATTTACAGCAATTATTAAAAAGAAACAAAGAATTATTAACATGAGGATTCAAACTCATTTTTCTCGCAAAACTATAGACTATCATATATTATTTTATTCCATCCATCTGCATACACATCGCAGTCAGGCTTATCAGCCCGGAGTGCATTAAGGATTGTATAGTGTAAACTATATCTCATTTATTAAAAAAGGAGGAATAAGTTTTCTAGTAAACTTTTCTTTAGATTTAAACATCTAGCAGTTAAATGCTTAAAAATAAATAAAAACATAAGTTTATACTAGTTTGTTCATATGAACAAACCAAATGCCATTTTTCATTCAATTAACAGGGATAAAACATGGAGTAACTAAGAGGAATAAGTTTACACTAGTTTGTTCATATTACTCAAATGCCATTTTTCATTCAATTAACAGGGACAAAACATGGAGTAACTAAGAGGAATAAGTTTACACTAGTTTATTCATATCACTCAAATACCATTTTTCATTCAATGAACAGGGACAAAACATGGAGTAACTAAGAGGAATAAGTTTACACTAGTTTGTTCATATCACTCAAATGCCGTTTTTCATTCAATTAACAGGGATAAAACATGGAGTAACTAAGAGGAATAAGTTTACACTAGTTTGTTCATATCACTCAAATGCCATTTTTCATTCAATTAACAGGGACAAAACATGGAGTAACTAAGAGGAATAAGTTTACACTAGTTTGTTCATATTACTCAAAATGCCATTTTTCATTCAATTAACAGGGACAAAACATGGAGTAACTAAGAGGAATAAGTTTACACTAGTTTATTCATATCACTCAAATGCCGTTTTTCATTCAATTAACAGGGATAAAACATGGAGTAACTAAGAGGAATAAGTTTACACTAGTTTGTTCATATCACTCAAATGCCATTTTTCATTCAATTAACAGGGACAAAACATGGAGTAACTAAGAGGAATAAGTTTACACTAGTTTGTTCATATTACTGAAATGCCATTTTTCATTCAATGAACAGGGACAAAACATGGAGTAACTAATCCAAGCTGAATCTTCGTTTATGAATAATTTTATGTTTGTGTTTTTAATTTGCATTCTGAACTGGGAGTGAAAGGATACGAAAGAAAATTTTCTTTCGCAAAATAGTTAATCGATGGTCAGAATAGATTCATCGACGTTTTGTTCGTAAACTTAGAACAATTGTTTGTTACCAATTAGGTAATGTTTGTACTATGGAAATATACAATTCGCATCCTTTTTAGGATGCGAAGATACTTGTGCTCACCACTCAAATAAAAGTCACTGTCACAGAGTTGCTAAGGGTAATATGGTGTGTGTATTTTGCGCGCAGAAAAGTAAACAGCTCAATGAAGAACGGATATTCGGTTATTTATATAAAGACGTTATACCACCATATCTGTTCTACCGAGAAGTCTTTCTCGTGTCTCTCTCACTATGGGACATTGGCGAAATTTCTGTGTAAAACGAAGAAAACCACAGACACAAAAAAAAATGGTAATATGTCAATATTGTTCCGAGACATCAACCTTAAATACCTAATATACATAGATACATGGAATTTACAATAAAATCTTTCTTATACGTACTTACTACCACATTACTATTTCTACCACAAACAATCTTATAGATAATAATTACGTCGCAAATCTATGCATATATATTAATCTTTTATAAAAAACACGCCAACGATCGAAAAATTATCAAAAAAATATATTAACTTAATTTAAACACTAATGTTTATGGATTGAAATTAATAAAATGGCTACAGACACTTCTTGAAATAAATTTTTTTTGATACAATGTTGGCGTGTTTATGCTTGTTATTTTTAACACAATAACAATAAGACAAGTAGTAAAATGGCTCAACTTTGCCTTAAATTTTAAGCGGTTTTCCGCATTTCGCATGATTTCTAGGAACTTGTTAAAAAGATTACGTTAGTATATACTTTATAAAGATAAAATACATACAAGATTAAGATAAGTAATTACTATTTTATTTTATTCCAAAAATAAAGATGAACACAAGGTTTGTTATGAGATTTGTTAGTTGAAATAAATTCTATCTAGATGATTTAAAATTAAAATATAATCAAAATTAAAATATAATATATTCACAAGCTTACGATTAAACACTTTCTGACAGCATGATTTAGACTAGGTATAAAATTTTAATTACTACCTATTCATCCAAACTTCTTACGGTTTAAATAACAAATGAAGAAAAAGAGGAATGATAGATTTAAATAAAATATTTCATCCAAAACTTGTTTTCGAAATTACAACAACAATAAACCAGCCAAGTCAAACAAATCGGATATACTGTACTTCCAGGGCCCAAAAGTAAAAACTTCACAGTTTTGTTGGTTGTAATTTCGCATTTTGTTGTTAAAAAGGTTTCTGTTAACCACATTATTAAAAAAAATGTCACACTTATGTACTGGTAGTTTTTTGGAAAAAAATATTGAAAATTTTTACTTTTCTTATCAAGTGGTGATACTTCACACTAGCGCGCCAGAAAAAAAAACTGTTAAAAAGACCTTTTCTACAAAAAAAAACAAGTATCACCTTTTGGGCCCTGGAAGTACAGTTTTACCAACAAATCTATCGAGCTGTACTGTAAAGAAGATAATATCAAATCTAATGAAAATCGTTTATTCAGCACAGTACACGGACACAGACAAATAGTTAAACTTATAAATTTACAAAATAACAAAAGAAAAACAGACAACTTACAATAAATACATCTTAACATTACTATACTGGCGTCGATTCCGGTACGACTCCCCAACCGCAAACTTAAACCTGACAGCAATGGTTCCTGTCACTACGTATAGATGAAAATGAAAAAAATCTTTAATGCTTACAAGTTCCATATAAACATGTTGTTGAGTATCCCCTTTTAAGTATTTTACTTGTATTAGGGCATACTCGCTCTTTCGTGAATTTTTACATTGAACTTTACCATAACAATTATTATTCACCATTGAACTTTACCATAACAATTATTGACATTAAAATTACTTCCGAAAGAAAAATAGACAAGTTCCATCTGATCCCGCCCCCGTAGTATGAGCACCACAATTCACATTGTATCACATGACATATCGCGTTCAACTGTCAAACTCCAAAGAAATTGCCACCTGAGCGCGACAAAAAACGCGTCACATATTATATCGCGGTCCTCATGCCAGGGGGGAAGGCAGATAGCCTGCTACTGCAGAACGATCTCAACAGGCTTGCTTCCTGGTAGCCAAATGCTTTGTAGTGCAATTCAGCAGGAATAAGACAAATGTAGTAAATACTTACAGAGTGAATGGAAATTTTTTAATCCGTACTGATAGTGTTCGAGATTTGGGCGTTATTCTCGATGGCAAGCTGCGATTTCATCTCCACATTGATCATTTAGCAACTCGCTGTTTTAAGTCTCTTGGTTTCATAATACGTAATTGCAGGGACTTCAAAAATCATGAAACCAAAATCCATAATTATATAATAATAATAATAACTTTATTTGGAACAAGTGCAATGTACATAAAATTACGCAATTGTGCGTAGTCACCTGGAATATTGCTCGCCAGTGTGGAATCCGCATTACGATGTGTATTCAAAACGAATAGAACAAGTCCAAAAACGCTTCTTGTGGCATTTGTCTTTCCAGTATCATCTTGCTAAAAAAAATGCCTAGTTATGAGGAACGGCTACGACATTTCAAGATGAGCAAGTTGAGTGACAGAAGGAAACTTTTGGATCTCATGTTTTTATATAATTATAGTAATATATGTTATTAACGGGATTGTTACCATGTACCTTGTTTTTAACGGGTTTCCGATATTTCGGCACTGTTGCAAGCGCCATGATCACGGAGTAACTGAAGTAATTGCGGGAAGGCTGTTATTGGCAGACATATCGGTCTACCCTCCGACGAAGTCTTTTATTGCATTCAATACCCGCTGTTCACATTCTCACTATTCATTCGAAACTGTTCCCGACACACAACACTTACAGTATCGAATCGCGACACGACGCTGTTTTGATTTTTCCGGTTTTTACACATACGAACTACAGGATTCCAGACACTCGACAATTTAAACCCGTCCTCACGATTGAAATTTTTATGTTTTGTTATTTCAATCGATTCCCTGACCAATCTTGGTATGTAGTGGCGTTCTGTCGAGATAATCTGTGGGTTATGAATCTCAATCCAGTAATACTATAATGTTAGTGACCATGAAAGTTTAAAACAATATATTTTCATATAATGTTGCAAATAACAGAGTTGACTATCCATCTTTGATTTCAAAGATAAGTTTTAGAGCACCTTTTAAGCTCAGGCGACCCTCCGCTTACTCTTTGTTTTCACTCAACTGCTTTAGAATGAACTTAGGTTTAAACAGCTCTCTAAATCGAATGTGTAGGTCTTATAACGGTATGGTTAAATTGGACAATAGTCTGGACAATTTTGGTAGTAGGTCTTAATCCCTAAACGGAGATCCCGCGGCTACTTTTAAACATAAAGTAAATAAACTTATTAAATCTTTAAATCTAAAGAAAAGTTTACTAGAAAAATTTATTAAATCTTCCTGAATCTTTCGTTCTCGTCTCCATATTTGTTATATTGTCATTGTATTCCTATGTGTAATAATCCTGTATGTAAAAATATTTTGAAATTTTGTGATATGATAATATTGCTGTCGTCATTTCGTTTATTTTAGATTGCCATAATTTCAAGACAGGACATTAGTAGGTATACTTATTTTTAAATTAAATAATTTTTATTTGTGTTGTGCGGTATATTTATGTTATTGTTTTCTTATTCATTTTTCACTTAAGATTACGCAGAATAATGTTTGATGCCTTGTTTTGTAAAGCATGCGGTGGTGATCTTTCATTAAGATATCATCGAATTATCGCCGATGCTTGTATCTTGTTATCTTGTATTGGTGTATATCTTGTTGGTCGTTCTTAAATAATTAAATAGAGAATGAAAAGGAGTGACTGATGCCAAATATAGTCCTAGGTTCATATCATGTCAGAATCGACACCAATCTCCGTGTCCACGGCTGCGCTGAAAAGGGCCTAGTTCATTATGTCAGTGCAATGTGCACTTTTTTTTCAATGTTACTTTTATGTTATTATTGTAATAAAGTAACAGTTATAGGTATTCATATTTATCCACATGTTTCTAGTTTGTATATTCGGAATACGTGTTACAAATCACATATGTTCTAATAAATTATATTCAGTAGCGATTTTAATTGAATATTTTAATTATTTATTTATTTTTTCAAATTAAAACTGAACTTTATTGACTGTGTCCTTTTCCAGACTTTTTATTAATTTATTGTTATTAATTATTTGCATGCAATTAAAAACTAATTTTAAACGATGCCAAAGAAGGATAACTTCTCACGCGCCTACATAAGTACACGCACCCATTTTTTTTTTATATAAAATCAATACCTAGCTTGTACGTGGGTCTTATAAAGTCGGTCAAAACATTCAAATAAAGTTTTGTTAGCTCAGATGTATTGTAGTAAGACGAAAAATGGAGTTCCGTTTCCTGTGCGAACTACGACAAATATTATGTTAGCGGAAACACGTTTTTTTCTGAGTAACCATCACGTCATTGTCACTTGAGGATAGATATCAAGTTTCTACATTTATGTCTTTTATTTGCATCAAAAGTGTCTAGAGATCAACTGATACGCAAGGCGCGTATGTAGGTAAATGTAAATAATTGAAGCACTTGAGTTTGCGAGGAAATTTCCCTCAACATAATCGAAAAATTGATATTTTCCCCATTTTATTAAAGTTAAGGGGTAGGTTGTTGACAGATAGTGCAATGAACGAAGCTGCGCCCCATCAATTTTTGGTTGAAGGATAATTAGTGATAATAAGATAATTATCATATTGTTTTATTAATATTTATTATTATCATAGATAATTAGTGTGTACCGATAACACTCAAATATTGGCGGAAGCTGGCACACATTTACTTTAAACGGTTAGGGATTGCAATATCTGTATTTTCATTTTATTAAATTTAGGGACTTTTAGACCAGGGCTACGGTTTTTCCTATTCGTGCCAATATTTACAATCAGAATCTATGGTGGGCCACGAATTGCACCCTCACTCCCAAGAATAAGTAAATCAAATATTAGCTCAGTAACGAATATCCCTCGTGCAGCCTGTAGCAGGGTAGATACGACCCTGAGTTTGTTGCGAAGTGAAGCCCCCACGGCAACGGCTAACTAGAGCCGAGGTCCGAGTGTCAGAGACGCCCTCTAGTTGAGCCGACCACCTCAGGTTCGAGTGGTCTAGAGGCTCCAGACTGAGAGGTGACTCCCCCCGTGGTGAGATGCCATCCGCCTGGAATACCTCTAGAGGCACTCGCCAATTCTCGGCTTGAGATCCCCTTAGGATTTCGCCGTCCCCAAACCCGGTGACGCTGTAAAGGTCATCTTGGACCAACAGCATACACACTCAAAAAATGCGAAGTGAACAAGTAGGTACCAGGTTACCAGCCGGGTGGTCCGTGCGGAGACGCGGAAGAATCCCTAAACGGAGATCCCGCGGCTTCGCACTAAGCAGCTTAGAGGGTATTCGCACGGTTTTTACCGGATATTATGCCGTAAAGCGCCCGTAAGAGTTACAGGGTCCTCAGTGGGCAGCTACTGCAGGGGCCCGTAAAGCTTGCGGGAGCCGGGTCTGAGGTCCGTTCTGCCTGCAGTTACCACAACATATTTGAGCAGGAGTCATTATTTTCTAAATCGCAAATTAGAAAAACCAATTAATATCAATCTGTGTATCTCAACTAATATACCTAAATCAAAGTCAAACTGCGTCTCAAACTTAAAATCAATTCGATATATATATTTTTTAATACGAATGATAACCGCCCTTTTATTTTTCGCAGTCCGGACCCCTATGCCCCCCCCCCCTGCCGGCTGCAAGGTTATGTCAGACTCTTACTGACTAAAATCATCCCCTGCCAACCTTTTCAAGTGCTTATAAACTATATATAAAAACGTTAACTCGAACAATTTTTATCACTTTAAAGTTCAATATTTCGCAAACGGATCTAAATCGAAAAATAGTCTTGAAAACCCCGTAGTAGTTTTAATGGTGCAATTCAACGATATCCCACACGATGGGGTAGAAGATGAAAAAAAAAACATCTAGGTATGTTCTTTTTAGGGGGTTTAGTAGGGGGAGCTAGCCTAAAAAAAAGCCTCAAAATTTAATCCTACCATTTTGTCGGCGTGATTGATATACATATCTCCACAAAAATTACAGCTCTCTAGTGCTAATAGTCTCCAAGCCAAACCGGGGACGGACAGACGGACATGAGGAAATTATAAGGGTTCCTTGTCAGGACTACAGAACCCTAAAAATGATCATTACTCATTGACATAAAGGTAACCCCATCAAAAATTAGTTATTTTACTGAAATCTCCTGTACGGTGGAGGTTATCTTCCCAGGCGCTCCAAATACTCCTCTCCACTCCCATATGTATCTTTTAGAGGCATGAAAGCTAACAGACATACTGTCAGACTTTACTTACTTATTTCTTTAAATAACTAATAACTGTGTAAGTATGCTTCTTTTAATTGGTAGATGTAGATCGTTATAATGTGACGTGTCACGTTAATTGATCTGATGTCTACGTTTTGGAAAACCCCCGTGTCAAGTGCATTGTAGCTAGTGCATGACGTTTCAGAAATGGGTTTCCATCTATCGTGAGAATTTATATTTATCACTTTCAAGTAGGTCTTTTGTCCTCTACTCGGAAGAATCCCTAAACGGGGATCCCGCGGTTTCGCACTAAGCAGGTTAGAGGGTATTCGTAGGGTTTTTAAGCAGATAAGATGTCATTAAGCGCCTGTAAGAATTACCGTTCCTCAGTGGGCAGCCACTGCGGGGGCTCGTAAGGCTTGCATTCACCTGGTTCCAAGGCTCCGTGGGGTAGAGGATTGGGTTCAGGCCGGCAAGGTGAGGATGGCTGGAGCGGCGTACATTTTGCCACATCATCATTAACCGACTGGACTCCACTTACATTTAACATCATGTACGGTATAGTGGCAGAGGGCTGGTTACATTAGCCGCAGAACTGACGGAGGCGGAAAGTACTTGAGTGGAGTCCACGACTCGGTAAACGTAGTGCAGAACACCCTGAGCCAAGATGGGATGATGACATTCGTAGGCTGGCTGGAGTGGGCTGGATGAGAGTGGCAGAAAATCGGGAGCAGTGGCGTGCATTAGGGGAGACCTATGTCCAGCAGTCGACGAGCTTGGGTTGATGATGACGGAAATATGTTGCGTCTCGTATGAAAAAAATATTAATATTTCGATTGTATGGTACTTATTAGGTACAGTTTTAGTTGTAGTATTGCATGAGATCTTCTTAAATTAAAATACGGGACCTTCAGACGCTCACAGAACAAGGTTATTTTGTGGCAGATTAATTTTGTTTATTTGTGAATAGTAACCTTCGTTCTTTAACTTATACGAATTCTTTTCAAGTTCGCTATACATATTATTGTGATTAACTTCGTTGCGTGGACAGTTAAAGGTCGTAGCAGACATATCAATTCTGAAAAGGATTATCTTTGTAGCAACTCCGTTCAGTATTATTTGTATAAAACTTCATACTGCTGTGCACACTAATAGGTATCGTAACGTAATCGTCTAGACTCGGGACAAGCTCCCGAGCCGCGGTGCGTGGTCAACTTGCAGTTCCCGCGTTTACTTCTCACCGTATAATGCGATTCAAATAAGAATAGGAAAGCCAATGACCTCCATCTGTCAAATGTCGCATGAAAAAAAAATCTCGGAACACTTTTTTAGCACTCAGCTAGTTCTAGATTAAAAACGAAAATTTTGAAACAAACAATAACAAATCTTGATAATTAATATTGGTTGATATTTTTTTTCATTTATTGAGCTTTGGCTATGGATGGTTGAAAACCTAAATCGTCAACCAAATGTCACTTTATGTTGCGTTCGGAAACTCGATTTAAAACTTTCATTTACATATAGGATGCATGTTCGTATGCAACCTGCATGATTATTCATAACTACTCCGGCGGTAATGCAGAAATGAGCGGAATTGACGAGCTAGATTCTGATTAATGTTTTTTCTCACACAGTCTTAATAAAGGAATATTATTAGAAATCGGTAGTGTTTTTCCCCCCAATCTTAGTAAATTAATTTCATTAAAAAATCTGATGTTTTTTCACAATTAATCTTATTAAATAAAATTAAATAGAAAACTTTTTTTGCTCACTCTACCTCTTTGGTTTGAATTGACAGCTATGACGTCAAAATATGGCGCCCAGTCGGTCCTATTCTTAGTTGAATCGCATTATACCTTAGCTTACGTCTCTATGTCCACGCCCCTCCTGCTGAGTCACATTCGGATTCAAACTAATTGAACTAGTGCCGCTGAACCGGTAACCAGTGGTCAGCGAGCCGTATACGCGACTTCGCCTAGCCGTAGCCGAGTCGACGTACTGAAGCTGCTTATGCGCTGTCTCTAACAGACTCTAATATAGGTGGACGCCTGTTTGACGGCAAGCCGCAAGGCGAGTCGGT